TGGGTGAGTTGCTTTAGGACAAAACAAGTAATGTTTCCATGTTCTCCCAACTTTCAAATCCTGTTATAAATAGAATTTCTTGATGTCCCTCAAGGGATAGCTGCACAGAGCTTGGGTGTTTGATTTTGTTTTGTCTGGGAAAGATGTGCTGAGTGAGTTCTCTGGGTGGATATTTTTCACTGCTGGAAAGGGTCTGGATGCAAAGTAGGTGACTTGTTTGGAAGAGCTTTGACTTCCTCTTAGTATTTCCACTGGTGGGTTGGAGGAGCTGTGATCGTGGACAGCACAGCAGAGCACAGAACCTCAGCAGCATAATGAGGCAGTTGGGTTCATAGTTAGACAGGCTCTGGGTTCCAGTCCGCTTCAGGGAACTGTGGCTTACAGCTGCTCTGAGACTGGAGGAAGTGCTCCCTTATTTGTGTGCATGCATCTTGGGTGTGCATGCAGGTGTAGAGAGAGGTGTGCTCACAGCTAGCTGTCTAACAGCTATCAGAGCCCTCTGCTTGAGGAGCGTAGTCAGTGTTCTCACATACTCATTTCTTGTGTGTCATGGTGGGAGCCTTTCCACAGTGAGATGCACTGGTGATCTGCAGAGATTTTAGGACTCACAGGGTGACTAGACTGTGGTGCTCTTGGACAGTGCTTGCTGTTTACAGTAAGGAGCTGCTTTTGCTGCTTGCCTTCTGTCAGGTTAGTTTGCAGGCCTGGGCAGCAGCCCACTGCCACAGAAGTGTAAAGTGACAGTAGTAGAAGTCCAGTGCTGTGGGGCCTGTGCTCTTTGTTTACTATGCTGAAGGTCGAACCCAGGGCCCTTGTATGTGGGTTCCAGGCAACCACTCTCCCACTTTGCACACCTGTGGTCTTCGTTCACTGGAAATGGGAAAGTTTGGTCTAGTCTAGCTCAGTCTTCAGCCTGTACAGTATGGTCCTTTGTTCTGAGACTGCTCTCCAGCTCACAGTGACACCAGCAAGGGACACACATGACTGGGTTTCCACCTTTTCCTTTACTCTCAGCTCCTTGTTTTTACTCAGTTTTACTACAGTTGTAGTGTTTGAATCCTGCACTTTCCTGTCAAGTAAGCACAAACACTGAGCTCTGTTGCAGTCAGTTTATATCGAAGACTTAT